CCTCCCTTGTGTGTGTTGTTGCTTTGCTGTGTTCTGTCGCCATGAGTGGTAGCCCTCTGCCGTGTGCCACTCTGCCTTGTAATCTGCCAAGTATAAATTAAAACCTCTACAAACTATAAGCAAAATAAACTTTTCCTTCCTTAATTTTGGGCACCAGATATTTTGTCCCAACAACAACAAAAAAGTAACCAAGACAAAACCTTTCCTGCTTTAACTTGTAGGTGATGGGTATTTTGTCCCAGCAATGAGAAAAGCAAGTAAGACATCTGAGGCTACATAATACTTTAGATAAAAACAGGTCACCCTGCACGTGTAACAAACCTACCTTTTTCACTGTTGGCTTCAGGGGGATGAAGCCAGATACCATCTTCACATCAACAATTGCCATGTTGGAGACAGGACGGCTCCCAGTGTAACTGCAGATCCAGGAAAGGAAGGAGTTTTTTTTGTGTGTTATTAAATATTCTCATTTTCTGTGTTCATATGAAGTACTCAATAGCTCTACAAAGTACAAATAAGTCTTCCCAGATATCTTACCCCAGTGGTTCAGAAAACTGGTGGTGTATTTGAATTTGTACAGAGCCTATGAAGCCACAGAGACCAATCCTACTCTATACCAATCCTACTCTGGACCTGCAGAATCAGAATTTCAAGTGCGTGCTCTCCAAGGACCTGCATGCTAAGAGGTCTCTACTAGTGATACATGAATGTGAGGCTCTTCATCTAGGCCAGTTATTTATCATACATACTTCATTTTGATTTTTTTCCCAAATAACACCCCAACCAAATAATGGACTTTATGTGGAGAGGTACCTTTTTGTAAGGCTTATAGCTATCTAAATATTCCTGTATATACATACATTTTTCTCCAAACTTGATTATATTGTGTGTAACCTGAGATCTACTTATTGTCAGTAAGAATATTACTTCCTTCTATTTAAGCTTTTGAAGAGTTCTCTATGTTCTGAATAATCAAAGAATAATATTGTATTACATTAGACAATCTTTCAAGTCATAGGCCAGGGGTAATATTCTTTAGTTATTATTGAGGGGAGGCACTAACCTTTAAATGATGAGGTTGGAAATTAATAGGTCATGCAAGCAGGAGATGGACAGGGTGAACCCTGTCACTGAGAATTCTATTGTGTCAACTTAAAAGAATACATTGCTTCTTAAATAAATGCTGCATAAATATATACTGTCCCATTTCTCTAACTCCTCCAATAAGAGGATGAGAATTAGGTGATGCAGTCTGAAGGTCTTACCTGACATTCAGTGAGATCTGGAAGCTGGTGTGGGCTTTGGGTCCATCACAGGCTTGAGGCAGAGTCTGCACCTTCAAAGCAAATGGGAACTCGCCTTTTGGGAGAACATTGTACTTCAAGGATGTCTACAAAACATTAAAGACAAAAATGAAGTTTCTTTTCCTCTGGAATTTCTCTCAACTTCCTCAGCTCTTTCTCTGATTTGCCCTGTTGTTTGCCAAGTCAGGACTTTTCAGTGAGAACAGCTATTGTAGATCCTCACCTGGAGGTAGACACACACATGCCCTTTCACTGTCATGCTGTATTCCCCAGGCACGGTTGGCAATGACGCCTGCTGTAGTAATAGGCGGTTGTTGTGGTCCACTTGGAATTTGGTGGAAAATGTGTTTGAAGACTGGATGGTCACATCTGAAGTGTCCCTAGTTCTCGTAAAAGTAGCTGCTCCATATTTGGACAAAGCATAGAGAGCTACCACAGTGTCCTGGAAGAGAGGAGAGAACCAGCTTAGGTGCTGCTATGTTTGGAAGGGGTTTGTCCCTCCACCGTCCATGTGTTGGGGGTTTGGCTGCCATGGTGGTGCTCCTGGAAGACGGTGGGACCTTTAAAAGATAGAGCCTCATGGGAGATCCATAAGTCACTGAGGAGACTGCTGTTGGAAGGGATTGAAATAGTTCTTGTAAAAGGGTTGCTGTAAAAGGAGCAAGAGTGACCCTACTGAGCTCTATGGCTTCCTGCTTGGAGTTGGGATCTTTTCCACATGTGCTCTTGCCTTTGCTATCTGCCATCACGTTATGCAGCCTTAAGGGGATCACCAGAGCCTGGGATCTGCTGTTTAGACATTCAGGATCTAAAACTATGAGCTAAATAAACCAATTTTCTTTATAAAGTTAGCTGTCTCCGGTATTTTTGTTATAGTCATGAAACATGGACTAATACATATAAGATCAAGGACAGGTATTTTTCAAAGTCCCATGCTAACTACTATAAAGGGACTTCAATATCCCAGTTCTCTCATTACTTAAATATTTGGGTTCTAAATTCAAGATTGACCATAATCTTTAGATAGATGACAGAAGAACAATGGAAGTATATATACCTTGGATTGTACACCTTAGAAATTTATTTAATCAGAAAACTTATCCTTTTTTCTTTAATGTGGGATATGGAATGTAAAAAATATGTGGTATCAGCTATTTGCCTATGATGTCTTTCTCTGCAATGGTGGTCAAGATGCCATCATCAAGTGCAATCCGCCCTCTCCCCAAATACATCTTACTCTGCTGAGGTCAGTGTTCTGAGAGAATCCAAGGTTTGTCATAGCCCTATCAGGGTCATGCCTCAGTTTCTCCAAAGGAAATAACACATGATTAGGATGATTACCTTCTTGATTTAATGACATTCTTTTATATACTCCCTTTCTATTGGAGAAATTTTGGTGCCCCCTGGTTCCACCTTCCTGAGCCATAGCCTTACTATCCCTTGAGAGTCAGCCTGAATGATATCTTCATTTTTTTTTTTTTTTTTTTTTGGTACCAGGAATCAAACTCAGGACCTTGTGCTTGCCAGGCAGGTGCTGTGCCACTGAGGTATATCCCCAGACCACGAATGATATCTTTCAAGTAACAGATTTCTAGGAATTAATGAGAACTGTTTTTAACAAAATGATTTGTTTTTTTCACTTACATGGAAAAATAAGAGATGAAATACAACTGGAAAAGGATAAGGTGCCATTTTGTCATATTCTCTCTTTTGGAGTAAGTAGGCTAACAGCTACATTCTCTGAGGACAGAACTTCCCATTGGGTACATATTAACAAATTGCATAGATAACTGATTTTACAGCTAGGCTTCTGTTGTTGGATGAATAAAGACAACTCTTTATTCTCTTAGTGAACACATATTTGTGTATAAGTTTGGTGGGAACACTTGAGAATTAAGAATATTAAGAAAGGAGAGATTTGCCAGGGGAGATTGTTGGATTTTGAGCTTCTGAGAATAGTTTGAATATGATGAGATCATTAAAACTTCTGGAAGGATGATGGGACATGTTTTTCTCTCTTTTTCATTCTGCTGACATCCTACTACTTTTGTTTATTTTTTTTTATTTTAAAGAGAAAAGAACAAAAACAAAATAACAAAAACAAAGACATAAACAAAACAACATAAAAACAATGAAAATGATACAGAATTTCAAAACAAAGTGATAGTAAATTAATAATGGTTGTTGTATTACATATTGTTATCTTCAAAGTGGTTATCAGATAACCAGATCTAGGCACGTAAGACTGATCAAACAATTAAACATTAGTTGTTCCTTTCAATAAATCTATGGAAATTCCTACTACTCCTTTAAGGAGGTAGAGTTGTTAAAGAGGATAGGACACTGTGATGAGCATTTTTTTTTTCCCATCCTCTGTTGACTTATTTCTCATCACACCTGTATACTAATAACTTTTCAAGTTATTGTCAACTACTCTTTTTGTTCTTCTACGTGTTCATAGTTGACTTAAAAATTCTGCTGCTTGAAGGTGAAGTAAACGTTTCTGAGAGTCACCCACCTGGGTGGAGGAGAAGCCGCCTTGGGAATTCTGCTGCTTTGTGACCCACTTCACGATGCGCGCTGCGGAAGTCAGCTCCTCTGGGGTCGGGGCTGGCTGGGCTGTGAGGTGAGCCAGGAGCACATAGGCGGTCATCTCCACCTCGGCAGAGGGCGCCGGGGGTTGGTATGGCGCTGGGGGTTGGTATCCTTCAGGTACCCTGGGTTTCTGAGGTCGTGTCCAGTGGATAGAATTATCTGGGTGTGAGAAAAAAGATTTTTACAAGTTCCTAAATATTAGTCTTTAATTGAAGGTGAAGGAATCCAAGCTAGAGGTGAAGTGGGGGTTGCATTTTAATTGTAATCTTTTAAACCTTATAGAGATGCTTTTTCTTATAGGTAAACCTGAGCTCAGGTGCTTCAACACATAAAGTTAAGGCAGGTAATGTTGCTAGAGGTAGAAGCCTACAGGCATCTGTGTTTTCAAATCTTTACTACAGTTGGGTTAGTGGGATAAAGAAATGGCTCTGCCAGGGCTCTCACTGAGGGTACCTACTTCCTATTTCCCATGTTACCCAGACCTTAGCTAGAATGTATTAAATTTTCTGTCCTTAAAGGTTTCTTGTTAGGATCTCAGACCACATAAGGGAGTTCACGCCCATTAGACTGAAAAAATATTACAGGAATTCTTAAAACACCAAAAGTCAACATGTGCGTTAGGTAATGGGAACAGTATACACTGCCTGGGAATCCATCTCTTTGGAGCATAATTTACAATATTCAGCAAAGGCAAAGATATGCTTAGTGTATTATCAGCCATTGCCCTTCTCAACGTGTAACTTGGGGAAACTCATGCACAAGAAGACAGGGACAGGAGTATTCATGGCAGCACTGTTTGTGAGAGCAAAAGATAACAAGAAAAGGTCCATGAGGAGAAACTTGATATGCACATTATGACCTAATTATATGTGATAGGATTTTCTGCAGAGGTGAAAATTAGAGAACTAAAGTTACCGGCACACCTATGCTTACTCTCAGGAATGTCATGTTGAACTTAAAAAATAAGAGGCAACAAACACAAAAATCCAAGCTGTGGAAATACCCAAAAATGTGATAATGGATATCTAAAGAGAAAAAACTGTAAAAATTATGAGCAGTATTTAGGAGCACATACACAATAAAAATTTAAAGGCATCCATGGAAATTATAATGACAAATTCAGGCTAATGATTATCTGTGTAGGTGGAAGAGGTAAATGGGATTTTTTTCCTGTGTCGCTAATACTTTATTTCTTAGGCTAGAAGGGAGTTAAACAGGTGTTTTCTAATTATTACCCATATCTTTTTGTATATCTGAAATGTTTTCCAATATATTTAAAATATTCAGGGACATGTTTAAATGAGAAAGGAAGAATGTATTTTATTGGACATCTTATCATCTGCATTTTGTTTCCTATTTCTTAGAGCCCCCATAAGGATCATGATAGATATAGAGGTGTTGTGTGAGTGTGAATAGGTTGATCAACATTATTAATCTTGTGAGATGAGATTAAAACATCAGATCTTATTTCTGGGGTTACTTCCTTTAATCTTTCCCTATGTTTAAGATGATACAATGCTCCAAGTGTGGGTTCACTATATATTAGGAACTGATGTTTTGGTAAAAATAGCTGGTATTTTTTATAGTGTTTACTATGTGCCATACACTACACTAAGTGTTTTGTATTTAGTAAATTATTTACTAGATCATCAGTATGAGGTAAATACTATTATAATCCTCATTTTACTGATTATGAAGTTGCAGTACAGACAAAAAGAATGTCTTGCCTATGATTAACTAGGTAGCGTGCTTCGGAGCTAGTCTCCAAAGGCTGAGCTTCTTAGCACTACACCTACCCCTTCCTATATTTTGATGTTTGATTTTATTAAGAAATCCTAGATTTTATAAAAAAATATGATATGGAAGGGAGGGGGCGGGGCCACAAAGATAAGAACAGGGAAATTTTGCATTGTGATTCATAATACGGATACATGTGCTCTTACCTTCTTTCACAGCTTCATCTTCAAGTGATTCCAGTATCTCTTTCCTCCTGTCCTGGTTCCCTGCCAGGGCAAACGCGTAGGCCAGCAGTGCCTTAGTGTACACATGGCTGCCGTGGGCGCCTTCCTTTGCTGACTTCCAGGCTGACTCCAGGCAAAACAGGGCACTGCGGACAACAGGATGCTGTAAAAGGAGAACAACAAGGGGACTGAACCGGGTGCTAGCGTCCAAGCACACATACTGTAGCAAGGAGGTGAAGATGTTTTTCAAATCCATTTGTCCAGTGACTCCTCATTTTTACCAACAGAATAGTATTTTTAGCTTGTTATTCTCATTTGCAAAAGGCAGGAATAGAGATTATATCTTAAGGATTGTTTTTGGCAGGGGAGTGGGTGAGTTAGGGGAGAAATAG